TTCGAGGCAGGGATCGTTTAAAAGGGGATCCACGACTTATTAGGCACCGACATAGGCACAATTCGCAGCCACTATTAATATATGCTAGCCGATTTACTTTTCCGCCTGTTTACACCCTACTTGTTTTTCCCATTCAACTCGATTTCCGCTCGCCCAGCTAATTGAATCGAGAAAATTACAATACAAACATGCAATTCGCATTTTCATATTTTGGACTCATATCGGAATCTCGAATAATCATGCGAGTTGTTATATCAATTATTTTTTTTTTTTTATTAGATAAAACAACTTCGATATTGAAATGGAAATTTTTAAGAATTATATGTTAAAAAATATTGCGTAGTGTTTTCGAAAGTTTCATTTAGTGAGAAATATTATATTATATATAAAGTATATATATGTATATATATTATACTTATTTTGACAACAACGTAATTAAAAATAAAGAAATTCAAAGTGTACAACAATTTTTATCAGATGAGCATGATGTAAAATCTTATATAAATTTTCTTATTTAATAAATTGTTTTTTGAAGTTGATATTTTGAAAAATAAAATTGTTATTCGAGAAATTATTATAAAAAATTTGATATATTATCGAGTAAAATACCAATCAATCGAGAAATTGCATAAAGTCATGAACTTGAGGCCGATCTCATCGAAGCGCTTCCACGGATCAGAATCTATGAATATTAATCGATAAACATGAAAAATTATCAATATGATCAATATGATATACCTGGTTGAAATCGGATATGAACCAAACCACGATTATTAGTTTCATATATTCTCAGAAGTCAGTTTTTTATTGGAAAGATAGATAATTACCTATATTCTCATCACATTATGTTAGAAATTTATCGAATTTTCTTCAAGGTAAATATCCACATATGTTTTAATAATAAATTATAATATATAATACAGATTATATTCTCACGTGATGAATATTCATTTCAATATTTTGATTTATTATTTGTTATCACAGATTACAATATCTATTTATATATATAAAAAATTTTAATCTTTTTTTAATAACACGCGGATATTAAAAAAAATTCTAAGAAAAAAAGCTTAATTAACACATTCATAACCATTCATAAAGTTTTACTTTTTCTTAAGATATAATTGGTTATAGTTGTTGATTATAGTAAAATTATGACATTTTATAAAAGGCAAGAAAAAATATTAGCAAACATTATTGTTATAACCAGTAATTTTTTTTATTTATTCAATAGTAAACATAGTATTTATTGAAATATCTTCTTCGTATTCTTATGCTGTTAATAAAAATTCATAGTGAAGAAATCATGAAAAAATTATAAAAATAGTTCAATATTAAATCAAAGAAATTATGAAAAATTTTATTTCTTAAAATAATAATTTTAGCTGATTCAATCAATTAATTCAATTAATGCATTTACTATTCATCTGTATAAATTGTTATTTATTTATTTCATTTTTCAAATACATAGTTAACTTAAGTTTTTTACTCATTCACAAAAATGTGTGAGAATGCAACAAATATGTAATTTCATTTTATTTTTTCCTCTATTTTGTCGTTTCCTTTTATAAAAGAATCATTACCCCAACACTATTAACCCCGAGTATAATTAGCTGATAAATTTCGCGTTAATTGCCAGCCATTATGGCCGCTTGAGATTAATCGTCCATGATCGCTTGATATTTAAATTAAAAGCAATCTCCCGCGGTTCATGCTAGCCGCCTGCTTCCACGGTGTCCACGCTAATCTTTTCTTTCTTTTCATTTTTTCCTTTTTTCGCAAGTTTCAAAAGCGTTGTACGCAGCAAAACAAATCATTTTATAAATAACAAGTTAATTAGCAATGGTCAAAGAAGGAATGTTTAATTATCATTGATAAATTTTTTCGTTTTCTTGGTTATTTTTATATTTTCATGAATTTTAATCAAAATTAAATATAAAATTAATTTTAAAAATACAAAAATAAATTTTTGACAATAGATACTTTATTATAGTTTAAATATAGCAAAAGATTTTCTTACTCTAATTGATCATTAAAATATGATTAAAATAAAATCTGCCTATTTTCATTTCGTTTTATTTAAAGAAATTGAATATTTCGACAGTGATCAAATATTAAACAAAAGAAATTAAACAAAATTGGGAAAATTGTAATTTTTTTATTTCAATCTAACACAAAAGATTTCTCATTTTCGAAGTCTATAATTTTTTTACATTATAATTTTCTTCCAATCTACCGACCTATTTTTTTTCACGTTCCATTCATTGAAGTTAAATTATCCGAATACATTAAGTAACAAATGTACGATAATTTGATAATGAATAATAATAAAACACGAAAATGTACAAACTGGATGTAATTCTTTACGCACAATAGACTATAAATCAACGAACAGTTGGTTAGACTCGATTAGATCGTGAATCATGTTCGCGTATTGATAGAAACGTATCATTATATTTTATAAAACATTTACATAAACTGTGACTCACGTTAAACGAATTTCTATCGCGATATCAATCTAATTACCTGTCGATTTCTATTCAAACCCGAGAAAATATAGGTCTGGTTGTCGAAACAACGTTGGTGGCATTTCAGAAAAGAGAAATTCAAAATTACCGCAACTATTGATTAAAAAAGAAGGAACGATTATTATATGATATAATATATCTATAATATATTACAATATAATTATAATATACCTATTGAATAATAATATTCAAATTTTTATAAAATTTTATCTTTTATTGATATTGTATACTTTAGATACTTTAAATGATATAAATTTTATCATTTTACGCAATGATATATTAAATAATTAATGATTTGCAAGTAATAATCTCTATCTAGAAAAAGAAAATGCGTTAATCAATTAACGATTAGAAATAGAAAGAAATAAATAACATTAAAGATTTTTAAATTTATAACAGTGAGAAGAACATTTTAGTTTTGAAGTAGATTATTTCCTTTATATTCGACAAAAATCAATTTATTTCTAATTAATACCTAAAATCAATATTTAGAGAACAAGAAATCTTAAAGAAAAATCGCAACGGTTCAATTTAAGTCTTTAACGAGATCAAAACAAATTCGTTTTTTCCCAGATAGTAATAGTAATAACAAATCTAGTGATGTCACCAGGTGATGGCATGATGGCAAATAGATGTTTGAAAACAAATTCGCGTGACAGATGCGAAAGTACAGTTGTATAACTGCATTAGTAACTGCTAATAGACCGTGAACCCGTGGCAGCTTTTATTGTATCGTAAATCAGTTGGCCGCGAATGCAGATATAATGTCTCTTTACGCAATACGATATCATATTTCATGTAATGGTACCTATCATGTACTATAATTGTAGGCTTATTTTACAATCAACACACGCCACCAGAGAGATACGTTTGCAATCGGTCTAACTCTCGAATAATTATTGCGGTCTAACTCCCGATAAAGAGATCACCGATACCCTATCCGGAGAAGTATCGATACATATTCTAGTGAATACTAATATAATTAACATGAACACTGTGATTATGCATCTGATGACCGATCGAGTTCAGAGAGAAAACGATCGTCTCGCCAAAGAAACCGCTTTATTCCTTTTAATTCAAAATATATACCAAAATCGAGTAAATGAATTTTATACCTGTTACCTTTTTTCGTTTTATTATTTCACGTAACTTTATTTTAACTTGTATAATTGGATCGTTGAAATTGTAATTTTGATTATTATATAATTTTTCACTATCGATTCTCTTTTTCATCCCAATCTATGTGAACGAATAAAAATTTCGTTGAAAAGCATTCAATTAAAAATAATAAATTTAATTAATTAAACGTTTTATTGATTAAAAGTTTAATAAATAATAAATTGAATAATGTTATTTTCATTCACGCGGTAAAGGCACGATCCCGATCTTCTTTCCTTCCTCATCCTCGTGCAGCGTGACACCCATTTCCTGTAGCACACTACTCTCCACAACGCCGACTCTACTGCAATTCCGGATGATCTCTTGATTCGCAGGATTATCCTCACATAAATTCCGCAGCGCGAGGATCGTCCATTGCATTATAACTGTGCGTGTAAAATTTAACACGCGCATTAATTAGCGTGTCGGGATATCATTGAAGATTCACCCCGAATCACAATAAACAGACGATCACGAGAAACAAAAAAAAAAAAAAGAAAAGTTTTGATTACTTACGTGGATTTCTCGCGTCTATATTGCAGCAATCCAGAAGCAAAGGAATAACGTCCATTTCACGAAGCTGAAAAAATTCAATTCTCATTATTGAGAAGCGTAAGCGTGTCATGTGTGTGAATCTGCTTATGATATCATACATAAAATTGGAAAACATCGCGTAAAATTGCGAATCGTCGTCGAGTATTTATGCATGTATGCGAATGCATTTTTGTCTGTAAAAAAGATAATTTACTGGAGATAAGCGGGGTAAAATTGTACAAAGAAATTATTGCGTATTGCTGAAAGACGAGTGTCAAGTAAAATGATAGAGAAGAAAAAATTATTTGATTTGTCTTTGTTGATTTCATCTTTTAGATGGAACACGATACCGATAGATTGAGATTATCTTTATATTTTAATACTTGAACTTATTTATCACGAAATATATAATAATCGATTGTGACCAAGTTTAACTTTGAAATTTATAAGAATTTGAAATAAAAAAAATTTTTTAATTAAAGATTAAAAATAAGAAATTTGAAATTTTTCTATTAACAATAAAGTCTCTGCAATACCTTAAAAGGATCATGGAAGTTACCTAAAAGATATTACATCGTCACAACATCGCAGATGTTAATTTATTTTTATAGCAACTGCATGGAGTTTGATTTATAGCATTTGCCATTCACGTAGCCATAAAAATATTATTCTTGCACAGTCCGATACATTGCAGCCTGTGGCCTGTATTCATGAACTCATGTTCGTGAAAAATGAATCGCTATTGAAAATCGAATGGAACGTAATTGAATCGCATGTTGGAACGACGATACATTTTATTGACAAGTCCTAAATCCATACATTTCGAATCATCGCGCGTTGGAAATTGAACCTGACAAACAAAGATCTTCGCAAAAAATTTTTAAAACGTGATAACCACTACTCAAGAAGCTTTTGCGATGGCCGTCATAAACAGGCTCGTATACACGCAAATTTTTCATTATGAACCATATATGTTTTAATGAAACAGCCCGCAGCTATCATTGGGTTATATATTAACAGTATAACGCGAGAAAGCGTCGCATCATTTTACGAGCAATTGCGACGACGATATATACATTTTACAATTGCTTAAGGAGCAAGATTCGAAATATGTACATGTTTATAGTACGAAATTTAAGAACATGATCGCCTTCGACACCTTCCACCATTTAACCAATGAAACAGATAGAGAAAAGATAGAAAAGAAAGACAAATAAATTCAAGAAAAAAAAAAAACAAACAAAACAAAAAACAAAAAAAAGAAAGAAATCGAAGTATATTCACGTTCCTACGTCGTACGCATGCGCATCGATAAAATGATTCAACAGAAATATGGCCATGAATTTGATCATGCTAATATATTAACACAGTATTCGATGTTGGTTAAATTGCCGCGTCTTCAACTTGGACAGGATACTTAATTTTCCTTTGTTCGATGAACAGTGTACGCTACACGAGATTCGTTCTCGTTTCTTTTATGCACTATCTCTCGCGCGCCAGAGATGAAATCAATAAGAAATAATAACGATCACTCGAAAGCCTATATACATATACGTATAAAGGAGTTAAATAAAAATCAAGCAGTGGGAGAGTTGTTTTAAACTTAAGGTTTGTAATATTCATCTATATTCTCTCTTGTTCTTTTGTACCTTTTGTTTTTCCTCGTTTCGCGTGTCAGAAGATGATCTATGATGCAAAAAGTCTTTGTACACGGGTGCACGTGATAAATGAATCGGCGTTGGAAGATGAAGAATAGAAGAGGAATGGATTAATTATAAAAATTATAAGATCGATGATTAATTAGAAAAAATTATGACATTTTTTTACTTGATATTAATTATAAATGGAATTTTTATGGTGTAGCAATTCGTTACAATATTCAATGTAGTTTCAAACACAACCGTACAAGATTTTACGGCGCTACTTTCCAGAAACTTTAGAAGCAGTTGTGTTGTTTGTATTACCAACATATGATAACTTAAAATACTGTTATCGATAATATATATATATTTCAAATAATTTTTAATGTATCGTACATATATACAAAATAAATTCAATTTTGATTTTAATATATTTATACATAAATTTAAACTTTAGTATATTCCATAAAATATTTTTTTATAAAATATAAATGGATAAAAAAAATAAGAATTTTGTACTTACAAGATCTTGATATTCCTTATCTTTATACGACATATTTCCAATAATCCTTATTAAACCAGCTTTAAAACCAAATGTGGGATGGTTCTGAAAATCATTTTTCGTTGAATTCAATTTATTTCTATTTTCTTTAAATTCTACACTATTTGAAAATGCCTCTGAATTATTATTTGTTAATCCTTTCATTGCTAAAGTTACATCACTTAATTTTTGTAGCGGTGTGAAATGATTATTTGATTGTTTTCCGATCATTTGAATAGATTTTAATAAATCTGTAAAAATTTTAATATTATTATTAATATATATATATATAATTTTTTAATATTAATTTTAAATTATGCAATAAATAAATATTACTTACAAGTACAATTAATAAGTAAATTCTTGTAATTTTTCAGAAAATTATATTCTTCATAAGATTTTGATGTCAAGATTCCAATAATATCAAGAAGAATAACAATTTCTATAGGTTCCATTTCATCTAAATATGTGTCAACTGTTTTTAGAATCAAATCACTTTTTTTACAAAATCTTCCAATCAAAAATTCAATTGTATCCTTTGTAAATATATATTCGCTCTTAGATTTATATATTGAGTTCGAGAGTTCATTACAAATGATTTCTAACAAATATAATTTATTTTCAATAGTCATATCATTATATATATTTTCTAATATATTTCTTTCAACTAATAAAAGCATAAGAGCTTCTTTTGCACTTTCAAAATCTTGTTTAATTGGTTTTAATAATTGTGAACACAAATGTCTTTTTTCTCTTTCTAAAAAAGTATTTCCTTCATATTTTTTTAAAGCATTATGTATAAATGCACATGAAGCTCTAACAAGCGACGTATGTTCAGAATTTGTTATATTTCTACAAGAAAATGCATAGTATATTTGATATAGATATAACATTTTGAAACATAATATTATTCTATTAAAATAATTAATATTACAAAATATAAATTTGTATTAATACTCACATTATTATATCCTTTAAATTAGTATCATATAAATATTTTGGTATATTACTATGATCTGGATGATCGCTATTTTTTATAGATGCAAATGTAAATAGATTACATAGGAATTGAATACATAATCTTAAAATTTCTAATTTTTCATCTACCAAATCATTATCCAATATATACGATGTAATAAAGTTTGATGTCCAATCTATGACACCTTCATAAGGAAAATGAGAATTGAATGGATAAGAATTAGACATTTCCATCTCTTTAATATTTTCATTATTTGCTAGAATAGAATATAATTTATGACTATACGTTCCACGTTCAATATCAGTTGAAATATATTCTTTATGTATGTAACTATTGACACAAGAATTTCCTAAACATTTTAAACAAACAATTTTTATATTATTTGGAATAACAGAATTTTCTGTTGTAAGAATTTCTGCTACTTTTGCTAAGATTGAAAAAGCAATTAATTCCCTGAAATTGAAAAATCTGTTATATAATTTTATATTTATGAGATATTATATTTATTATTATCTTTTAAATCATACTCTGATTCAGAAATTCTAAATATTTTCGGATTAAGAAGATTTAATAATTCGTTCCAATTTTCTTCAATAAAAGCAGATTTAATTTTTGGTAATAAATAAATATCTCTATTATTCATTGTATAAATTTGTTTGTGTTCTTTATTTTATTAAGAATTATTTCCTTATTTTTTTTTTTTGCATATGTTAGTTAAAATAACCTTAAAACAAATATGTCATGAGCCATTTTTAAATGGGCAATAGTAAATAGAGATAATATATAGATATAGATAATAAGAAAATAAATTAAATTTAATATATATTTTTTTCAGTAAAATAAATTTATAATGATTAATAGCATATGTAATTAGTAAAAAGAAATAATAATATTTGAAATAATAAATGTATTTTGATTAATATTTATATCAAATTGATTAAAATTATATTAAAATACTTCTTAATATTTTTAAAAATCAAAATACAGTTATATTTTACAGTTATAATTTAATAATAAATATCAATTTTAATTATTTTTGATTTTTATGATTTTGAAAGTATATATTTCTATCCTTCGAAATTACTAAAAAATTTTACTATAATTCTAGGGTTCTCAGTCTTGAAGATACATCTCTGTATTTATCCCCGCCATCGATTCAATTCCTTTCGTGACTAGCGTTTGTGACAGTCGGCTTAAATTTAATATTAAGCAATTTTTATTATAATAATAAAATTATCATAAAGGTAAGATATTTTCAATTCTTAGAAAATAATTAACTTTCAATGGGATTTTAATTTTTTGCATTCATATATTTGTAATGATAAATTCATTGGTTTTGCTATGTCATTCCAAGTTAACCTCATTTCACTTAAGTCTTTTTTAAATTTTTATAATTATTAATTAATAAATAATTAATGAATAAAAATAATTTATTATAATTATATTTGAAAGATATTATTTTTATGTATTTTTATTTAAATATCTTAATATTGAATATACGGAGTTATAACCTCAAAACTTTAATATATACGATAATGTATGTTTACGTTTTAATATATTTTATTCAAATATAAATTTTAATAATATATATATATTTTTTTTCAGATGTTTTTAACACGTTCTGAATATGATCATGGTGTTAATACTTTTTCTCCAGAAGGAAGATTATTCCAAGTTGAATATGCTATAGAAGCTATAAAACTTGGTTCCACTGCCATTGGAATTGCAACATCAGAAGGTGTTGTATTAGTTGTGGAAAAACGTATTACTTCCAGTTTAATGGAACCCACAACTGTAGAAAAAATTGTAGAAATTGATAAACATATTGGATGCGCAGCATCAGGCTTAATAGCTGATTCTAGAACAATGATCGATCGTGCTAGAGTGGAATGTCAAAACCATTGGTTTGTTTATAATGAAAGAATGTCTGTAGAATCAACAGCGCAGGCTGTATCAAATCTAGCTATACAATTTGGAGACAGTGATGATGATGGTAGTGCTATGTCGAGACCATTTGGTGTAGCAATGTTATTTGCTGGTATTGATGAAAAAGGGCCTCAGTTGTATCATATGGATCCTTCTGGTACTTTTGTACAATTTGATGCCAAAGCTATTGGATCAGGAAACGAAGGTGCGCAACAAAATCTCCAGGAAGTTTATCATAAGGTAAAATACTTATTACATAATATTAATAATATAAAAATGTTTTATATTTTACATATATGCATATGTGAATTCTTGTTTAATATCTTAAATATTTCTTATAATATTTTTATAGTCTATGACACTTCAAGAAGCAATAAAAGCAGCTTTGGTTATATTGAAACAAGTCATGGAAGAGAAATTAAGTGATAATAATATAGAAGTAATGACAATGACACCTGAAAAACTGTTTCATATGTTCACAAAAGCTGAATTACAGGAGGTGATTAAAGATATTGCTTAAAATTTAGAGCACTTAAAACATGTTAATTTTATTGACATGAATATATACATTTATGAACAAGAGAAGTGTGCTATGCAAATGTTGTATATCTGCAAATTATATATACATTTTTCATTTAAAGAATATGGAATTTTTACATGATAAATGATTTTGTACTTTCACCTTTTCAATTCAGATATGAAAATAGTAAATTGTACATTATATTTTTAATTTTCCATCAAAGAATCCTTAATATTATTCCTAATCATTTTTTTGCTCATATGTTTATATTATATCAATGTGTCCTAATTATTTTTGAATATTATTCAACAATAATTTATTCCTATAAAATGCTTTTTTTATTATCACTTTTATATTATTATCTTTATGTAACATTTATGCAAGTTTCTTTTTTGATTTAGTTAACTGAGAATTTGGTATCTTTGAAAGAAGATTCAATAAGATCTAGATCCAATACCTCTGGTCCACTTCCACCTACCCCATCTATATCTATGGATGGATAAAAAAAATTAAAGCTCGTATGTGATTGTTTTCAATTTTCCTTCTATCCTTTTATATTTCTAACGAGCTAATAGTTAATAAAGTATTTTTATAGAGTTTTAATTATATGTGTCTTTCCTACTTTAATCATATTAGTACTTGCATTTTATATTCTTATATGTAAAAATCTTAATTTTTTATTGATATAATTATCTATGTACGTTTAATTTCTATTCAATATGTTTAACTTTTTAATGCTTATGTCCAAATTTGGCCTGGACACAATAGACTCATATTTATGAAATGCAAGCCCAAATCAGATTCAAGCGATAGATATATTTTTAAGAACGATTTGTTTATTTTGGGCATTTAATGCATAATATTTATATAGTATTAAATCAAAATATACTGTTAATTACTTAATAATGCTACAATAATAATTGTTTTTAATCTTCAAAATAATAAATTAATATATTGAAGTACTTTTGAAAGTCAAAATAAGCACAAAACTTGATATATGAAAATATTGGTTGAGATTTATTTATTAAATTATAAATAATCTCGTTGGAACAAAACAAGCGTGAAATAGTTTTATTTCTATAATATTGTTGTCTTATTCTATTGTTGCCTCGGTTCATTGTAATTAAAGAAATTTATAACTTATAAATCTCAAAATATTTATTAAATTACAATCGATAAAGCGTAATCGTGAAAGGATAAGACAACAAAATAAGAGTCACAAAGATAAAACTGTTTCACTTTTTTTCCATTTCCTTTCATCTATGAGATTGTGTATAACTAATAATAAACTTCAATCATTATTTTTAAATGCCAAATTTTCTGTTTGTTTGACTTTTAAAATTGTGATCTTCTTATGTTGAATATATTAATATCCTCTATATTTTTTTTTTATTTAATTTCTATTCAAAATATTTAATTAATATTATATTATTACTATATAATATTATATAATATATTAAACCAAAATAATCGTTCAATTCAATAATACATTGTTTTTAAAATTTAAATTTTAAATAAACAATTTATTTTGCATATTTATATATCGTATATATTTGTGCATTCATAAGAATTTTAAAAATAGCTTATAGTAAAGATATTTAAATTATGATTAACTTATTTTAAATATATTAATCTATAATGAACATTACAGAAATTTTTATATAAAACATACGTAATAATACTTAATGATACTTTAATAAACATGATAATGTTCAAATTTTCCGTAATGTAATTAAAATGATATATTTACGATACAATTTAAAATTCATAAAATAAATAAAATTTTAAATTTTAATTTAAAAATTTTTAATTTTAAATTTTAAATTAAATTAAAAAATACTAACATTTAATCAATAATAATTGCTAATATTATACAAAATCAACTAATTCATTCATTGTTGATCAAATATTCGTAAATAATTTTTATAAGAACATCTCTATATAATATTATATATATAATATATATTATATATATAATGTTATAATAAATATTATATATATATATATACCTTTATATTATAAAAATATTTATACATATAATGTCTATGATTTATATAAATTGCGATAGAATTCTTTTTATCATAATTTCACGATCTTTTATTTGTGTTTTATATTCCATCATATCTTAAAATTACTGTAAAAATTTTTATACACATTAAAACATATTGCGATGCATACATCGATTCAAGCGATGGATTTAACTTAATGGCTCATACTGGAAATGATAGAATAATGTTTTAATCTCGTGTCAACCATTGACTTAAATCCATCACTTGAGTCGATATATACATCGCAACATGTTTACTACTTGGTGTACGTAATCATTCAGATTTGTTATCTAAATAATATGTAAAAACACAGAATCACGTAATCAATGAGAATACAAATACAATGAGAATTATAGATTAAAAAAGAAAAAAGATACAGCAAAAAAAAAAAAGGAAAAGTAGATCTCTTCCGCATGTTCTCATTTTATCTTCAAAGTAACCATCTCACTGAAAGAAGAATTTCGATAGTGGCGTAACACAGGCTCTTCTAGAGCGAATCGTTGTTGGATTCGCGTCGAACGGAAACGAACGGGACGGATGGTTCGTTTTCGATTAAAAGCTACTCCAGACCTGTGAATGCCTGTATCCGAAATCAATAATTAATTTCGCCCGGTTACCGGGGGACAGACAGAAAGCGAGCCGAGCCGGAAATGGTTCGGAAACTCGCTCGGTTACTGCGATGTTCCGATAAAACGTCCCTTTTTATCCCGTTCTCTCAGTTGCCAGATTATTGGATATTATTCCATTTCAAGTGTTCAATCCCGCTACGATTCGCTCGCTTGGATTCCCATAGGGGATCCTCTGTCGTCCGTTGATTGTTGAAGCCACTTACACGCGTGCGTGTGCTCACGTGTATTGCAACTGTATGCTTTATATTTTATTTTGAGATGTTACATTTCTGTCTTTTATTTTTTTTTTTGGCAAACATAGTTAAGAGAATAAGTCACATTGAATTAAAATGGAATACTTGATGTTTGTATAATTTTGGATTTGAATATTTTTCGATAATATGACAATACACTTCGATATATCACGTTTTGAAAATAAATAGCATTCTGTGTCGATTGAATTTTTATGAGTAGGCATTGATTAAAAGTGAAATAGCTTGATTTAAATGAAGATGTTATATAGTTTGATATTTTCAAATAAAAACACTGTTATATTTCACATATGTTTCACTTTGATTCTAATACTTGTTAATGCATAAAAAGATTAATAACTTTTTTATTATTTATAAATGGATGTAATATGAATATTTATTTTAATTTAAT